CTCAACCCTAACCCATATTCCTAGATGAAATCATAGGGTCCCTATGAGTTTTAAAGATAAGATTGGTATAATTGTGTAAGGAGAAGGATTATAAAGGACTAAAGGCCTGGTGCACGGCATTCGTGCACAACAGGGGGGAGGGGGTTCTCTTTCAAAGTCTGGGAATGTCCCACTGATGGCTTAAGCTGTCAGTCGGACATCCTTAGTGCTGCCGTGGAGGCGGGCTGCTATGCTCACCAGCCATCAGCCTGGCTTGTGGCTGAGTGGCACCCCCCTGTGGGAGCTCACCGACCACCAGGGGGCAGCTACTGCATCGGGCATCTGCCCCCTGGTGTTTAGTGTGCATCATAGCACTTAGTCATTCCACCATTTGGACCATTTGCATATTACCCTTTTATTATATAGGATTTATTGATATTATATAGAATTTTCTGCTTTGAATAAGAACATGAAACAAATTTCCCCACAATTCCACAATCAATGTGAGTATTAATACACATGTAGATCCAATGCTATCTAAAACCTATCCAAGCTGGTAGCCCATAATAACTTTCTTTTACTTTGCATTTTTAACAATATGCTGTTGCTGCTATTTCTTGACTTTTAAATTTTAGATATTAGCATTGGATTCTCAGTTGAAGATGACAAATGATCTTTTTTTAGCACCCACAAACACTTCCCATCCCTTTACAATATAGACATAGTACCAATTTTAGCTTAAAAAGTTTAGTACTTCCATTTTTATGACTATATAAATATTATTCACAGCCAAGCCACACGGTATATTATTATAACTTTTTTTCTTATACAATCTTTTGTTTTTCTTAAAATAATTATCTCTTGGTTTGCTTGGAGATTCTAAGAATTAATCACTACTTGTTTTTTCTTTTCTTTTTTTATTGGGGGGGGGGGGGGCGCAGAGGTGAGGGGTCACGGGTAATCCTTACCCCAGGATATTTTTCCAATGCTTTTTTTAGAGAGAGTGAAGAGAGAGGGAAAGGCAGAGAGAAACATCAATGCGTGAGAAACACATCGATTGGTTGCCTCCTGCATGAGCCCCGACCAGGGCCCAGGCCAGAGAGGAGCCTGCAGCCAAGGTACTGCCCTTGACCAGAATTGAACCCGGGACCCTTCAGTCAGCTCTATCCACTGAGCCACACCAGCCAGGGCAATCACTACTTCTTAAACTGAAGTATTAATCTCTAATTCTCCAACTAAACATAATTTCACACAACAGTTTGATCAGTTCTTTTTTTTGTTTTTTTGTTTTTTTTAATTTTCTTGCAGACATTCCTTATGGAGCTTACTGTCCTGCTGCTCCAGTCTGAACTGGAGCTTTCTAGCTCTCCTGCACAAATGGCTGTCCTGGGACTCCTTCATTAGCATCCTAAGAATTCTTTCCCTTTCTCCTGTTCTGGATTCCTTGTTTCTTTATTCCTTGTTTCCTTATTCCTTAAGAATCTTATTCCATAAGATTCATTCTCATTTCTTATTTTTCTTTTGTTTTCTTTTTAGAGAGAGGAAGGAAGAGGGAGGGAGAGAAACATTCATCAGCTGCATCCAGCACACCCCTACGCTGGGGATCGAGCCTGCAACCTCTGCATGTGCCCCAACTGAAAACTGAACCGGCAGCCTTTTGGTGCACAGAGGGTGCTCAGCCAACTGAGCCTCACTGGCCAGGGCTCGTTCTCATTTCTTGACGAAACACATCCAGTAGTTTTATGAGAAAAGCTATATGGAAGTTAAAATATAAGCCCTTGCCCATTTAAAAATCTGTATTCTACTTTTATAGTTGACTGATGGTCTGATTTGGTACAGAATTCTGAAAAGCATTGCTCTATTGCGTTTAGCTTCTATTGTTGCTGTTGAGAAGACTTATGACGCTCTAGTTCCTCTGTTCTCTGTTTCTGGAAGTTGATTGTTGTGTCGTGGCTCCTCATTATCATCTTAGAGATTTCTCTCAAATGTCTGGTGACCCTTGAATGTATCCATTCCTACTTAGAATGAGATTACAAAAAAAGCTGACTATCTGAATGGATTGAAGTTGTTGACATTGAGTTTCGTTGTAGAATAAACAGGTTGGGATCTGGTCTTTCACTGTAGAACTCCTAAATGTCACACATTTGTAGCAACTTTTTCTGGGGCTACTTCGGTTCTCCAGAAAGTATTCCAGGCTTGTGCCTCAGGTACCCATTTGGCATTTGGCAGCAAACGTTCTGAGAGCACCATTTTTGCTCCCGTTTGGAAGCATCTCCAAGAGGCCTGTTAGGATGATACCATGTTGTGAGGGGTGGCTTAGGTGAAGCTGAATCCCAAAAAATAGAATGTGAGTTCCCTGACACACACTGTTAAATATTCAGTGAAGAGGAGGAGATAAGAGATCAACGGAAGGACTTGTATGCATGCATATAAGCATAACCAATGGACGCAAAACTCTGGGGAGGGAGAACATATCTGAGAGTGGGGAGAGGGGGCCATGGTAAGATATGTACACATATAATACCTTAATAAAAAAATGAAGAAAAAAAAATTCAGTGGAGAACCTGCAAATGCCATATTGGCTAACATCTTCCTTATTTTCTAGCAGCTGCACACTGCATCCTCCATGTATTATATAGGAGGACAGATCACTGAGCCAGATACTCATATCAGGATTCAGTAACCTTTGACCAAGGTAGCTTCCAAACTTTAGCTCTCAGGCTTCCGGAACCCAGGTCAGCTGTTCACTCCCTTGCCATAGCACCTACCAGCAGGAGGATGGGGCTGTGGCCAGCTTGAAGACACTCCTCAGCCCCTCACCCAGGCTGGCCATGCCCCTCCAGTGGGACCCTCACACCATGGGATCATGGCTGGCCTGCAAACCACCACAGGCCCCTTGCCCAGGCCGCCCCATGCCCCACCCTGATCCGGGACACCCTTTAGAGCAAACTAGCCAGCCTCCACCCATGCACCAGGCCTCTATCTATACTAATAAAAGGGTAATATGCTAATTAGACTAGGAGACCGTATGGACTTCTTCTGGACAAAGCCATGATGGCGGGGCCAAGGTAGAGTGGTTAGAGACCAAGAGGGGAGGGTAGTTGTGGGTGATCAGGCCGGTGGGGTGATCAGGACAGCAGGGGCATCAGTTTGGGGTGAGAAGACCAGCAGGGGGCCAGTTTGCGGTGAGCAGACCATCATGGGGGTCCGTTGGGTGTGATCAGGACAGCAGGGGTAGGGGCAGTTTGGAGTGAGCAGGCTGGCAGGGGAGGCAGTTGAGGGCGAGCAGGCCGGCAGGCAGAGTAGTTAGGGGCCATCAGGTAGACAGGCAGGTGAGTGGTTAGGAGCCAGCAGTCCTGGATTGCGAGAGGGATGTCCAACTGCTGGTTTGGGCCCAATCCCTGTAAACCGCATTGGGACATCCTTTGAGGGGTCCCAGATTGGAGAGGGTGCAGGCCTGGCTGAGGGACACTCCCACCCCCTGTACACAAATTTCATGCACCGGGCCTCTAGTATTATTATATGCTTCTGCTCATATGAAAGCCCAGTATAGGAACTTCTAAAGTGACAGAGATATTAGTGATTGATTAGTTGGGAGTGAAGAGAGGCAGGGTCGGATAAGGTGGGGAGGATGAGCTATGATAGCTAAAACATCAACATGATGAAAATGTCCCAAAATTGGCTGTGGAGATGGGTGCACATATTCAAATATACTAAAGCTGAGAAGTTGGGTGTAGTCAGGGGTTTGTTTAGTTTGTGGAGCTAGAAGACCTCCAAGTAAGACGAGTGGCAGTTAAAGGGGAGCCGGTAGTGTATCAGAAGGTGCACTTGACTTGCTTCCTCGCCTGTAAGAGATCTGGATTTGAAGGGCAGTATTTACAGGGATTGAGAGCAAAGATTTTGAAGCATGACTTGTCTGATTTCAGCTATTCACTAGCCTTTTAATCTTGGACATATTATTTATTCTCTGAGCTTCAGATTACATAAAATGGGGATGATAATCATATACCTACCTAATACAGCTGCTGTGGGGAATATGTATACACACACACATATCTTATTTAGAACAATGCCTGCTGCATAGTAAGCTTACTGTTCTAAAATTGAAGTCCTTTTCAGATCTTTTATGTTATACATGGTCAATTTCTGCCAGCCTGGCATTCCAAGGTAGAGATCTGAACCAGAGCTGTAGGCTAATCGTTTCCTGTCTGGAACACATGGTGTGAGATACCCCAGGAGAAAGTGGAAAGAACATATGAAGAGCAAGGACACGTGCTGAGGAAGATTATATTTGGGAACAAGAGGCAGCAGTATAGCAGGGCCAATAAAGGAGCATTCAGAGACAGAGATGGAAAAGACGGAGATTCTGTCGTGAAAGCCAAGTGAAACAGAAAAATGCTCAAGGGGAGGTCGCCTTTTAGAGGAGAGGCCGCTGGACTGAGTGTGAAGGTTTTTGTGGGACACAGCTGACGGGGGAGAAGTTCAAGATGAAAGCAAAGGAAATTGATGATTCAAGAAGAAAGAAGCTAGCCTCTTTGAGTTGGAATAAAAGAAGGGAAAGCTCTATTTTGATACAATCAAACTGGAGTTGGGAAAGCCGGAAGTTGGGGAAGCTCATGTTGGGTAGCTTCAATTTCTCCCCCATAAACTAGGAAGCAAAGCCTCTGGAAAGAGAGGAAGGAACCATGTTTTTAAGCAAGCTTTAAATGTTTTCCCTAATTCTGCCTTTTGTATGAATGAAAAACAAATGATCCATGTCACTAATAATGGGTAATATTTACTGAGCCATTAATATCTTGCTAAGAGCTTATTGCAAACTTAAAACACCCCTAACAGGCAAATGGTATCAGTATCATATCTACATATCATAGGAGGTATTACATGAGCAGAAAGCACTGGAAATTGCTCAAGGTTATCTAGTTAATAAGAAGTATAACCAAGACTTTATATGAAATATTATACATCATTGGCCTATAGCGTGGGTATGTGGAAGTAATCTTTGCTTTTATATTTTGTAACAGGTGACAACCAAAGCCAAACAGCTGAAGGACTCCGTCACCTGCTCCCCAGGTGAGGCAGCACCGACTCCCCCATTAATCTAAAGCCGTTTCTTTAAAATAAGCCCCTTTCTAAGAATAGCATCTTCTTTAAGTCCGATGGTGTCATAGCTTAGACCAATGAACTCTGTTGGCCAAACCTCTAAAAGGTGTCAGATTAGCTCTAGCTGTTTGGCTCAGTGGGTGGAACATCGGCCTGCAGACCAGAGGGTCCCAGGTTTGGTGCTGGTCAAGGGCACATGCCTGGATGCAGGCTCCATCCCCAGTGCAAGCACGCAGGAGGCCGCTGATCAACGATTCTCTCTCATCATCAATATTCCTCTCTTTCTCTCTGAAATCAATTAAAATATATTTTAAAAAATAAAAGGCATCAAATTATAGAAACCAACTAGCCAATTCAGCCCTGAACATATAGTGGGTGCCAAGATGTGTGTGGTAAGTTGAAAGAATTACAAAAGCCTTGTTCTCAGTTCGGGGTCAGGGGTGCAGTGTCCCTGCATCACCCCCACACACACCACAGGCTGCCCACAGAGGAGGCAGCACGCAGTTTCCCAAGAATCTGTTTCTGCAAATGTTTCCTCCAAGACTAACTGGAATTTTGTTATTGTCTCTGTACTGTTTGCCTAGAACCAGGAAGTAAGAAAATGCCTCCTAAACCTTCCAACTTCCCCTAAATGCAGGTCGCAGGGAGAGTAGTGCAGGTGAGCAAACCCGGGGCAGAGGTCACCCCCGGAGGGCGCAGCGCGGGGCCGCAGGCGGAGGAAGGGCTTTTCCAGATTCCGTTTCTACCAGGGAGGTTACTTCTGGGCCGGAGGCAGACACAGGCGGAGAGTGTGTGTGAAGGAAGCCGGCCTCCACCACATTCTCCAGAAATGAACAGGCGAGTGGACAGGCAGAGGGTCCTGCAGAGCATGGGGGGACGGAGAGAGTGCAGCTGGATATTTCAGGGCATCTCTGAGGCGACACTGGTGGCTGGGAGGCTGAGCAGTTTGCCCACTTCCTACGGGCGCTGGAATGACCAGGGGTCGATCGCAGCAGCTCTGAGAGCAGATCCCCCGGGTGCGTGGTCACCTCAGATGGTGGCGCGGCGCGGGTTCGGACAGGCCCGGTTAGCTGTGCTGATGGAGCGAAGGACAACCCTGGAGAGAGAGGAACCGCCTTCAGGAGCAGCAGCTGGTCTTCTCGGGAGGCCCGTGCCTCCGATCAGCGGTCCGGGTTCACCCACTGTTCCCTCCCCCCTCCGCTGCCTCCTGGGCTGACTTTCCTCCTCGGATACCTGTCCCCTTGGTCAGCAAAGTGCGGCTCTCGAGCCACATGCGGCTCTTTGGCCCCTTGAGAGTGGCTCTTCCACAAAATACCACGGCCTGGGCGAGTCTATTTTGAAGAAGTGGCATTAGGAGAAGTTTAAGTTTAAAAAATATGGCTCTCAAAAGAAATTTCAATCACTATACTGTTGATATTTGGCTCTGCTGACTGATGAGTTTGCCGACCCCTGTCCTAGAGCAAAGTGAACGTGAGTGAGATGGCGCGTGAGAGGCCTGGGCCAGCCGCTCCCGGCTCCTGACCTGACCTTCCCCACAGGGACCGTGAGGCTCTCTGAGCTCCAGCCCAGGCCGGGCAAGGCGGCCGTGGCCCTGCCCGACCACCTCCTCACACAGCGGGAGGCCCCGCCGCCCGGGCCCGACGGCGAGGAGAAGCCGGAGGCCGAGGGCCAGCCCCGGAGACGCAGGCCCGCCCGGCCGGCCGAGGCGGCAAAGCCGGAGCCGGAGGAGAAGCCCCGCGGAAAGAGGCAGAAGGACTTCGATACATCAGAGCACAACGCGTCCAGCGACGAGGAGAGCCAGCGGGGAGAGAGGAGCCGCTCTGCCGAGGAGCCATGGACTCAGAACCAGCAGAAACTTCTGGAGTTAGCGTTACAGCAGTACCCGAAGGGCTCCTCTGACCGCTGGGACAAAATAGCCAAATGTGTCCCGTCTAAGAGTAAGGTGGGTGAGCGGGCACGGAGGAGGCCGCTGTGGGCTGTGCTGGGAGCTGGGTCCCTGCTCTCCCCGGGGCCCGGGGCCCGGGCACCAGCCGGTGAGGGAGCCTGAACCGGGTCCGCAGTAAAAGTTGGGTCATTGTACAGACCAGGCGGTTTTCCTCAGGAAAGGCCAGGCATGGAACACAGTCACTCTCGGTCAGCCTGCCAGCCCCTGGGGCGCTCGCTCTCCCTGGTGGCAGCTCCCTCTCAGCAGAGCGAGGACGTTTCTCAAAATCACGGCCCCCGGGCTCCAGGCCGAGCCTTTAGCCAGGGGGATGTGTGGCCCCCGCTCTGCACATGGCCCTGCACCCTGGGGCGCGTTTGCATGTGGGGTCAGTGAGAGAATGACGTTCGGGGTTCAGCTTACAGAGTAGCCTTGGCTTTTCTAATAGACTCTCCTCCCCGTTAGTATCTGCTCCAGTACGTCTGCAGGCAGTGTGTGCTCAGGTGGAAGCTCAGACGGCGGGAGGATGGTGTCCTGGGGAGGCCCGCCCGCCCGCCTGTGCCCTCTGCTCGCCCGAGTTCTCTCCGTGCGTCTTTCCTCCTCGGCCTCCGGCCTCTCTCCTGGCGGCCATGCTCTTCTGTCTGAGGCGCCAGGACTCAGAAATCAAAAGAGCCCGTCTCTCCCGCCTTCTGTGCCTTTCCTCAGTAGCCTCTGGGCACACTGATGTTCATTTACATGCGTATTTTTTTAATTGAAATTCTATGTTGGACAATCTAGCCTGTGGCCATGAATGTCCCCGTGTGTACTGGTCTAGTTATCTATCACCTACTTTAAATGACGAGTCAAGCTTTCCCAGGGAGAAAAATAAAACCATTATCAGTCGATCTATTTGAGAAACACAGACTCCCCCGCCTCGCCAACTGCTTTTGCCAGAAGTAATTATTTTCCTAAGTTTCTCCAGCGTCTGTCAGGACACAGGCCTGTGCATGTGTGATGAACTGACATTGGTGTAAAAGGAAGGAGATTCCTTAGGACTCAGAACCTCACTGCCCTGGGGTTTGGAAACGGTCCTGTCTCAACCAGAAGCAGCAGCTCTTCCTGCAGAAGCCCCCCAGCCTCTGCCGTTCGAACGGGTCCGGGAGGCTGGGGCCGCCGCTGTGCGGGCTCCGGGAGCGGCCGGAGCGGAGGCCACGCCGCCTGCGCGGGAGGCAGGCCCGAGGGGAATCCTGGGTGCCTGGCCTCACGTGTGGTGGTTTGTCTGCAGTCGTGTTGTGATGAAATAGTGAAATGTTAAACACGATAGAATTTGCAAAGTGAAAATCACGGTCACAATGACAGTAGCCGCACAGACAGCGGCCACCGGCCCCTCGCCTGGCGCTCGCAGCCGGCCGCCCTCTCGCCCCGGCTCACTCACCTTCCTGTGGGCTGCCCTCGCCTGGCAATGCCAGGCAGGCCCTGCGCAGAGCGAATGGGCATGAGGCTGTCTCATTGTCACCGGGCACAGCCAACACGCAGGCTTACCCAGGAAGTAAGCCTTTGTTTTCCCTCTCGGTTTGTGGAAGTGATTGTCTCACCTCTCCTTTTCTTTCTACAGGAAGACTGTATCGCTAGATACAAGTTGCTGGTTGAACTGATCCAAAAGAAAAAACAAGCTAAAAGTTGAATATTCTGGAAGATGATGTTCACCTTCATTTTCCAAAATGAGTATTTTAAAACTCTTATGCAGAAATTTGCATTTTGTACCTCAACATTCTATGACTCATGTGCCTTAATAAAAAAAACAAGTTTAAAATAAATCTTGTGTTCTACTGTTTAAACAAATACTGAATTAAAGGAGAAAAAGAATTGGGGTATTTTACTGCTTATTCTCTCAATGACTACCAACTTTCCTGTAATGGGGAACAGACTGAAGAGTGCCTTCCAGCAATCAGACAAATGTATGATTTTGAAGGAACAGATGAGTAAACCACCGATTTTCAACATTTTTCATCTCATAGCACATAAACATTACTAAAATTCTGCAGCACACCAAAATATATTACAATATTTGCTGATCTGACAAAAAAGAAAAGGTATTGTGTTGGCTGTTGATATTTTTTACTTGACAGTCTAAAGGAAAAGAGGTCAGTGCCCCTGACTAAATAGCCAGGTGTTGCCCTAGCCGGTTTGGCTCAGTGGGCAGAGCATCAGCCTGCAGACTGAAGGGTCCCTGGTTCAGTTCCAGTCCAGGACACATGCCTGGGACAGGCTTGATCCCCAGCAGGGGCCGTGCAGGAGGCAGCCGATCGATATTCTCTCTCATCATTGATGTTTCTCTCTCTCCCTCTCCCTTCCTCTCTGTGAAGAATCAATAAAATGTATTTTTTTAAAACAAAACAGCCCCCGTCATAGGGCTTTTTCTGATACGTGCCAATCCCCACCCTACACAAGTCCCCTGCTGCCCCTTTGAAAGGGGAGAGCTGGTCCCTCTACCACACCAGCCATTTCCTCTGCTGCGCATGTAGGGAATTTGTAGTCCTTGTTTTTTCCTAATGTTCAAATGAGTGCGGTTTAAACTGTGCTGTCCTATACACATGGGGTGGTCATACGCCCCAAGGTGCCGGGGGTGCGCACAGCCCGCAGTCTGGTCACCTCGGGGATCCTGCATTCCCGGCCTGCGAGGACGGACAGCTGAGAGATGCAGCATTCTTTCTCTTTGCTTTTGGTCTAGAAAGCCCCAAAGATGGAAGCGTTTGCTGATCCTGACCTCCAGCTCTTCCTGAGGCACCCACCGCACCAAAGGGAAACTGAGGCACGGAGACCCCCGCCCTGGGATCTCCTGCAACTGGCCCTTCCCGCCCAGGACGCCTCGGTCCCCTGAAGAGGGCGGGCCTGCGGGCTCCGGGCTGCGGGGAGCTGGGGAGGCGGCTCCTCGTTTGCTAGAAGCAGACTTGGATGGTGATGGTTCACCTGCATTTTGCAGTCCTTCCCCCCGCACGTGGTCCCAGCTGTGCAGACCCTGAGCTGAGGAAGGGCGGCGGCTTGGCTCCCAGGTCTGCGGGCCGGGCTTGCAGAGGGGCGGGTCTCCTCCCCCGGCGCCCCTCCCCCTGCGGGCCCAGGGCTGGGGTGGGCGTTCGGAAAGCCCTCTGGGCTGTGGGGCGGCTGTGGGGGCGGCGGCCGCGACCTTGGAGTCAGAGCCAGGGAGCGGGGCTCCTGTAGCCACAGCGCCGCTCCCCCTGCTGGAGCCGCGCGTCCCGGCTCCTCTGAGTCACTGCTGGCCTCCAGCCTCTGGCCTCAGGCCGGGGAACTGAACCAGCCCCTGTGAGAGCCGCTGCAGTGCTTTTCTCCGGGCCTGGAAGAGGAAGAAGGGCTTCTCGTAGGACAGAAAAGGGGCGCCGCTCAGCAATCCCACTGCCCGGGGAGCAGAGTCCGCACAAAGCAGGGACCCGGTCCCAGCCAGGCCCGGGGGGCGCGGGGAAGGCCTGGCGGCTCTGTGCCCCCTCAGAGGCTGGGGATGGGATGGACACACACACACACACACACACACACACCTGCCTCCCCTGCCTGGGACACAGCTCTGTGCCCCCTCAGAGGCTGGGGATGGGATGGACACACACACACACACATACACCGCCCCCCCTGCCTGGGACACAGCCGGGCAGGAGCGGGTCTGGGTCAGCAGCGCCTGGGCTCTCACCGGAGTTGAACCCCATGAAGCCCGCCTTTGGTTCGAACACGGTAAAAAGAAACCCTGGTTTCCACAAAATGAAACTGAGCAAGAGCTGGGGCAATGAGGGAGCTTATAACTCTAGTGTGTCCGTCCTAAGTTACAGATGTTTTCCTCTATCACTACTCAAAGAAACATTTTGTAAATTTACTGTAAAATACCAAATTGTTTATCCCAAATTATCTTGGTTCCGATCTGTTTCACAAAGGAAGAGCCACATAAAGAGCTGGCTCTGGATCTGTGGCTGCAATGCATCCCCCTTTTTTTCTTTTTTCTTTTTTAAGTATTTTATTGATTTTTTACAGAGAGGAAGGGAGAGGGATAGAGTTAGAAACATCGATGAGAGAGAATCATCTATCAGCTGCCTCCTGCACACCCTCCACCCAGGATGTGCCCGAAACCAAGGTACATGCCCTTGACCGGAATCAAACCCGGGACCTTTCAGTCCGCAGGCTGTGCTCTATCCACTGAGCCGAACCAGTCAGGGCCACATCCCCCTTTTGGAGGCTTAAGAAATCCTATCAGAAATCTCCCCTTTGGCTGAAAGGAGAGCTGTTCTGTTAAAATGGAAAAATTCCATGCGGACATTTTTGTTTGGGGCGTTCAGACCATAACAGAAAGAAGGGGTCATGCTGGGGGTGAGAGGCAGTCAGGGCCTGGCTGCAATTGGGACCAGGAGCCCACACGCGCTTTAATCCTGACACTGGTCAGCCCTAAATCCTCCACCTGCCTGCTCCCACCCCTGAGGCCCAGACACCACTCCAGTTTCCTGAGCGGACACACAGCACCCGCCCCGAGCAAAGCCTGAGGGCGGGGCGGGGTGGGGAGGAGGGTGCAGGCGGGTGCTGCCAGGTGCGCATCCTAGGTGTGCGCACCTGAGCCTGTGGTCTCTCTCTCCTCCTCTTTCTTCTTCTCTCTCTCCCTCCCTCAGTCTTGTGTTGGACATTGATTCCCAAAATCAAACGGAAAACAGAGCTGCAGTCATGGAGGGAAAAGGCTATCCTGACGAAGGGACTAAATGCTGGTCAGAAGTCAGAAGAAATTAAAATCTCTGAGAGCCCAGCTGGTGCGGCTCAGAGGCTGCGTGCCGACCTAGGAACCAGGAGGTCACAGTTCGATTCCTGGTCAGGGCACATGCTCAGGCTGCAGGCTACATCTCCAGTAGGGGGCGTGCAGGAGGTAGTCTTTCAATGATTCTCTCTGACCACTGTTTCTTTCTCCCTCTTCCTTCCTCTCTGAAATTAATATAAACATATAAAAAAAAAATTCTGAGAAGGGGAGCAGTGGGAACCAGGAGAGCTGTGGCCAGTGTTGGGCTCGCAGTCCCGCTGCTGTGAAGACTGAGGTCAGCAGAGCCGCACTCGACCCACAGAAAAACCCAAGACTATGCATTTATGTCTGCTATTAAGACGTCAAAGTCTCCCCCTGCCGGCGAGGCTGTCGGTGAGCGTCTACCTACGAACCAGAAAGGCAGCAGATCAAGGATTCTCTCTCTCCATTGATGTTTCTATCTCTGCCTCTTCCTTCCTCTCTCTGAAATCGATTTTTTTAAATGCCCAAGTTCCTCATTGGTCTCAGCAACAGGCCACCTGACTCACCTCTGGGATGGATGGGCGTCTTTCCCGCAGCCAGGCTGTTCCTGGGCAGCCACACAGCCGGCAGGAACTTCCCCCGAAGCTCCCGGCCGGAGGCTCCAGCCAAGAGTGGGAGAAGGAGGGGGTTCCCGAAGGGCAGAGGGCCCAGGGGGAGACGGGGAAGCAGCCTGAGGCTGAGGGGAGCCCCAGGTGAGCAGGCAGGTGGCCTTGGGCCCATCCCCTCCCCCTGGCTGCGCGCTGGGCGCCTGGAGCTCCAACGGCTGCTGCCTGGGCCCGCTCCGAGCCCCGCTCCGGTCCTGGGCGAAGCGAACCGCACAGAATTGGACTCTCCGTGCCAGCGCCGCCAAGGAGAGCGGCTGCCGAGGCCAGGAGTTTGCAGAGAAGCCCATGTACGGGAGCAGCTCAGCTGCACAGACACCTGTCTGTACTCGCGTTGGGCGGAGACCAGGAGAAGCAGAAAGACCGCTGGGCAGGCACCGGCGCTGCCAAAAACACAGCCTCCTAATTAATCCGTCTGCTCGTGGCGGGAGCCAAGCGGGAAACACCAGATGCATCCATCAGAGTTTGAGAGAAACCAAATTAACACGATCAGCAAAAAAAAAAAAAAAAAAAAAAAAAAAAAGAAAAAGGGAATGTCTTGCTTTAATGTTAAGCTTCAAACGACACCAGCACCATCACAGGACTTCCCAGTGACAGGACACATCCTGCTGGTCATCCCCCCTCCCCCCCTCCTGCCGCCGAACTGCCCCCACGTCACCCAGGCCTCCCGCCGCCGCTCCCCGCCCTGGGGTCCGCGGTGGGGCCGCTCCGGGCTCCGGGCCTCGTGCTCTGTGGGACCATCGATGTGGGGGAGGTGGGGGAGCTCCTCGTCAGGCCCCGCACAGGCTTCCCCTCCTTCAGCCTCTCCCCGCTTGCCTCCGCACACCCTGGGACTTCCCCCGCCCCGGAATTCGCCAGACAAGGGCCAACCCCCTTTTCCTGGGCCGCCCTATCCGCGGTACCTGCCCCGAGGGACTGAACCCCAGCCCTCCACGTGGCCTCAGTTGATTCCTTCTTACAACTCGGTTCCCGGACCCGCCTCCCAGGCCCACGTGCTTTCTCGCTGCTTCAGGCTGCGCTGCAGCGCCCGGCTCCGGTCAGCCCGATTGCCCCGGGGGACAGCGCCCAGCTGGCCCGGAGCCCCGCCAGCCGCCAGCCCCGGGCTCCTGCTGGGAAGGCAGGCAGGACAGGACGCCGGACCCAGGGGCCGCCACCCCGGGAGGCCGATCGCAGCGGACAGGCCTGTTCCGAGCCGCGTGGCCGGCTGTGGGGAGAAGCGCCGCGGGAGGAACTCCGGCCGCTGGACCAGGCTGGGCCCGGACTCTGAGGGGCCTGCCCTGCTCGCCTGGGGATGAACCACAGCAGATCCGGGGGTGGGGAGAAGGATCAGCTTTTCTGGAATTATTACTAAGTGCTTCCTACCTCCCTGGCTTCAAATATTGTTCGTATTTGCACCAGTT